ACAATGAACTCAATCAATTAGTAATTAATTATCATAATTTAAACTCAAATGCTTTTCGAGTTTTTTTTTTTTAAAGATATCTCAAAATAAAATTTTCATTTATAAATAAAAAATATAATAAAAGTGTTTAAATAAATCCGTTTTAAATGGAGAGGTTACATCATCATTCCCTTACCATTAGATTAACTTGTTAGGTAAGTTGATCCCTTCCAACGTTTAGCCACAACAAAAAAGGAAAAGGTAAAATGAATGAAGAGAGCTTGAGAGATAAGCTATAGTTGATTAATCTTGAACTTCAAATAATGAATCAAGAGAGAGAGAGAGACAGATTAATTAGGATGGCAAAGCAATTATTGGGTTTGGAGTGTTACGGTGGCCACTAAACAAATGCCAAAGAGAAAGGGGCAAAGGCTTGAAGGAAACGTGGGTGGACAGATCACGCCACTTAAAGAACAAAAAGAGGTGGAATTGGAATGGGTTATTGTTCACCCTTTATTTTCTACATTTAAATACTCTATTTGTGTTTGTGGTGTGACAAAACAAAGTACAACACGTTTCTACACTTTGAACTTCCTTCAAGATGTCATATTTCTGCATGTGAATTTTATGTTCTTTAATGCAAAAATGTTTATCCTTAGTTAGAGCTTAAAACCCACTTTGTATCATAAAAAATTAACACAATATATATACACGTGTTTGTCTTTTTTTTTTTGATAAATATGGTTAGGATATTCTTAGATTTCATCTAGACCTAATCTTCTTCACAAAAGGACAATTTTTAAGAAATATTTTCATACACCAATTTGGTATATTTAAAGATTTCATTGTTGAAGTAGTCATCACAAGAATCAAATCTTAATAGATAGAAAAACAGATTGTTTTTTATACAAATTGAACTTACCCGAACATATATATATATATATATTAATATCTATTTGATAAACATAATAATAAAATTACTAATTAAATTTATGCTCCTTTTGCTTATATTAACCCGTGCAAATATATATTAACATTCTCTCATGTTAATATGGTGCATTAAAGATTTAACTTTTAAACTAATTTCCTGAAGAATCAAACCCTGATTGGCAACTACACAAACTATTCCTTTTACCAAACTTCATATGGAAGCAAAAAGAAAAAGAAAAAGAAAACGAGGGGAAATTCCAAAACCAACCAAGGTACAAGCAAGAAGCATCCTTTGCCTTTATAAGCAGCACTATTTGTGCACTTCTTAAAGGGAAAGGAGGCTTTTTTTTTTTCTTTTTTTGGTAAAAAAAATATAATTATTACCCAACCAGTGTGAACAAAAGAGAAACCACAAAGTCAACGTCTCTCTGCCAGATTGTTCCCATTGGCATTAGCCGCAAAGTCCACCACGGAAAGGGTAAATCCGTCACTAAAAACCTTCACGTCACGTGTCAGGCACATTACATTAATGTCAAACCCAGTCCAGCTCTTCGTTGCCCACACGTGTCGGTCAGTATTACCGGCTAATCCCGTTGTTAAAAGCCAATGCGTGCCCAATATTTATGAGGCTAATTTTTCTGAACAAGAAACCATATTGTTTTCGGCGACGGAATTCGAATCCCAGCGGAGAAAGAAAACCAAAGAGAAGAAGAAAAAAAGGGAAAAAAAACAAAACCCTAAGCTGTAATTCGTTGTTCTTGGAAGAGCTAAGCTTGAAGAAGAAGAAGAAGAAAAGGAGTTGGTTTTAGAGATGATAGTAAGTCAAAACATGGTAGCAGAAGCCGACATCATTTATTGTCACCAAGTTGTAGATGTTATGTCGATTTCCACCCAAGTTTCTCGCTTCGAATCGGTGCGTGTTTCCCTCTCTTTTCTTCTTGATTTTCGTTCTTTCGTTTTTTTTTTTTTAATTTGGTTAGAATTTGATGTTTCTTTTGAATTATTGGCTTGAATTTCGTATGGCAACTACATTTGATTGGCCTCTGTTAGGGTTGGGATCTTTTTTGATGGGGTTTGATAGAAAAAGGATTTTTTTTTTCCCTTCAAGTTTTGGTATTTTGATAGTTTTTGGTAAATTGGAGGTGAATTTCGACCCAGAATTATACCCTGGTCGGTGGGCAATGAGGATTACTGGATTTGAATTAGGGGAAAAAACTGAGATATGAGAATTGTACTTTTTCTGTAACGGGTTTGAGGCAAATTTGCTATGCTTTGCTAACCTTCATAGATCCAGAGTTCCGCCCTTGATGTTTCATAGGTTTTCTGGTTTATGGGCGAATTATAGTACGTTTTTTCATTGAATCTTAGTAGCTTCAGGAATCACCATATGAAAAGCTTTATTTTGATTTTACATATGTAAGAACGTGGGCTTACCTTCTTTTTCCTATGTTCTGTAGGTCGCAGCTTGCGCCGAGACCATTGGAGATGATGTTATTGAGTCATCTGCTGTCAAATTTGTACCAAGAATTCGTTCTGGCAGCTATGCTGATATTGGTCCACGGAGATCTATGGATGATGAACATATTAGGATTGATGATCTATCTACCCACCTGGGTTCTATCTTTAAGCCTTCAATGCCAAGTGCTTTCTATGCTGTTTTTGATGGTCATGGTGGCCCTGATGCAGCTGCTTATATCAAGAGGAATGCTACAAGGCTATTTTTTGAAGATTTTGATTTGCCACAAGTATCTGATATCGATGCTGTTTTCTTGAAAGAGTTGGAGGATTCTCATAGGAAGGCATTCTTGCTGGCAGACCTTGCCTTGGCTGCTGAAGACAGTGTTAGCAGTTCTTGTGGAACAACGGTGCTGACTGCTCTGGTGCTTGGAAGGCATCTTTTGGTTGCAAATGCTGGTGATTGCCGAGCTGTTCTCTGCCGAAAAGGTGTTGCAGTTGAAATGTCTCAAGATCATAGACCTTCCTACTTACCAGAACGCAAGCGAATTGAGGAGTTGGGTGGCTACATTGATGATGGTATCTTTAATGGTTATCTCTCAGTCACACTCTCTTTTCTTATGTCTTCTTTCTTCTTATTCTCATGTCTTTTTATTCTTCTGGGTCTTCTTCTTTTTTCTTCGCTTCTTGTCCACTCTTCTTCCTTGTACTGTACTCTCCTTATTTTTTTGTTTCTTCTAGGATCTATCTCCTAGTATTTATCTTCTTCTCATTTCTACTTCTTCGCATGCTTTTTTGTCTTAAGTCGCTATTCTTTTTCTTCATTTGACGCATCGTCTCTTTCGATAGTCTACCGTCTGGATCTTTGATTGGTATTCTCTTGCTGATTGTTAGTTTTCATTGTTTCTTTTCTAGTTATCCCGCATTCTCCCATTTGACTTTGTGATCTTTTTTCAACTATCTTAACTTTGTTCTGTATCTTTGTTGTATATTGTACTTTAGATTTTGGCTACCCTCGTTTTATTGTTGATTCTGGTTTCATGCTATCTTGTCTACACTTTGACTTGGAGATTGGACTTAAAATTTCCTCTTGGACCATCATCACCTCTGATTGCAGCCCGGATGTTAGACAGACTGTGTTAACAGAGGAGGATGAGTTTTTGATTATTGGTTGTGATGGCATTTGGGATGTAATGTCAAGCCAGTTTGCTGTTAGCCTTGTTCGCCGTGGTCTAAGGCGGCATGATAACCCAGAAGAATGTGCCAGAGAATTAGTCAACGAAGCGTCACGCCTGAATTCATCAGATAACCTCACTGCAATTATTATCTGCTTCTCCTCCCCTGCTCCTATTGAGTCATCTCCTCTCCAACGACGAAGGTTTAGGTGCTGCAATCTCTCTGAGGAGGCTAGGAATAGGTTGAAGAGTTTGCTAGAAGGCAATTGAATGTATATACAAATTATTTCTCGTTTATTTACTGCCATTCCTAATGGGAGAAATCGTTTTAATCTGTTTTTGGCTGTTTCAGCTAGTTTAGAAAAAGCAGCCAGCAGTTTTGTAGGTGTAGGAGAGTAGACAATGTCGGCATTTGTTTTATGTTATTTCTAGTGGTATAACTACATTGCGCGATTATTATCAATTGTAATGTTTCTTTGTTCACTGCGAAAATGGACTTATATCTTTGATCAGATCGTTCTTGAAAAGGGGATTTGGTTAGTATTCTTGTTTGTTTCTCATTCTCATCCTTGTAGAAGCATTTGGTATTTCATGTAGAATCATGGAGTGGCTTCAACAAGCGTTACATCTGTACGGACCCTGATGTTTATTGTCAAGCACAACTGATGCTTGACAGACAGTTAACCTTCCCATAACCCTTGTTTCAAGAGAAAGAAAGTGAAATCTGGTTATGCAGTTAAAAATGAACAGTGTTATTGTTGGTTTGTTGTCTGCATCATCATCCTGGGTTAAATTTGATTGGAAAGTTTGGCGAAATGATTGGTACAGGAGAATCTCATCACCTTAGCAGGAGCTTCATCTGCCCACCACCATATATACCTGTTGGGGTGATGGTAGGGCTTGTGAGGCCACCATTTTCTGGGGCTTTTGCCATTCAGAACAAGAAGACACCAATCAAAACAAGAGACAAAAATAATTCCATGCGGCATCAAACAAGTAGAAACGATGAAAGCCCATCGAGTTCTTGCGGTCCTTCCGATGAATCTATCAGAGTTGCCGGATATGAGCCCATTAACTCCATTCAACAGATCATATTGGTGGACCATGCATGATTGGACCCCACCTACCAAACTCCAAACATGGCGTGTCTGGTCAATATCTTGCAGTCAACTATTCCAGCATCATCCAGATTTTCAGATCCTTCACGATCCACGTGTCTTGTATTCTACCCGAAGATCAGCATCCAGGCCATAGACAGCCGTCGCAGCAGATCACTGATTTTACAGAAAAGATAGAAAATTGGAGCAGCCCAAATTAAGAAAATACAATAAAAACCAGGTTTATTCTTCTAGTTGTAATATTTTTATTCATCACACTTCCAAAAGCCGCAGTCTAAAGCAAGGTTTGATCCATACAGGCCAAACTCTCTTGCATCTTGTTTATAATAGAATTTTCAGAAACGAAAACAAAGCAAAAATAAAAAAAAAAAAAACGAGTGAAAAATTAAGATAAAATGGCTTTGGCAAGCTTGGCCAGAAGAAAGGCATACCTTTTGTCCCGGAACCTGTCGAATTCACCCGCAGATGCGTTGAAGTACTCGTTTTCGCTCAGCTATTTCTCAAGGGGTTTCGCTTCAGGATCTGAAGAGAACGATGTCGTCATCGTCGGCGGCGGACCCGGCGGTTACGTGGCCGCTATCAAGGCCGCACAACTGGGTCTCAAGACAACCTGTATCGAGAAGCGCGGGACCCTTGGTGGTACCTGCCTCAACGTTGGCTGCATCCCTTCTAAGGTGTACTGTGCTGTTTGATTTTTGGATCTAAATTTCTTCTCTTTTTTTAAATTTATGGTTGGTCAATCGACTATGATTGTAAATCTTTAGTAAGATTTGAATATGTTTGTATGGGCAAATGTTCTGATAGGTCGTGAATTATGGTGAAAATGTATGTAAAGCTGATCCTGGTGTTCAATTGGTTGTCTCAATTTCTGTTCTGAATACCCTTTAAAAGAACTATGATCGGGTATTATATTTGTGAAGTCGAAATGGCATTGCAAATCGTATCTTTCTGGCCATATCTGTTTTTACGACAATGAAGAGGAAAAAAATGTTATCTTTTTTGAAAAAAATCTTATCTTTATCATTCTCTTCGATACAATTCAGTATTGAACATACATACTTGATTACCATATGCTTTCATCTTCAGCCTTCAAATTAACTTTATTGGTGTCCTTCCTAGTTCCTGCAGGCTACTTGTCACATTAGAGTTCTTATTTTTCTAATGTTGCTTGTTTCATCCAGGCACTTCTTCATTCCTCCCACATGTACCATGAAGCTAAGCATTCATTCCCTGGCCATGGTGTGAAATTTTCTTCTGTTGAGGTTGATTTGCCCGCCATGATGGCCCAAAAGGACAAAGCTGTTTCTAATCTGACCCGTGGTATTGAAGGCTTATTCAAGAAGAACAAGGTAAACTATGTCAAAGGCTATGGCAAGTTCATTTCTCCCTCTGAAGTTTCTGTAGACACGATTGAAGGTGGGAGCACTGTTGTAAAGGGCAAGAATATCATAATTGCCACTGGTTCTGATGTCAAATCTTTACCTGGTATCACCATTGATGAAAAGAGAATTGTGTCATCAACTGGAGCTTTAGCGTTGTCAGAAGTCCCTAAGAAGCTCATAGTTATTGGGGCAGGCTACATTGGGCTTGAGATGGGTTCAGTGTGGGCCCGACTGGGCTCTGAGGTCACTGTGGTTGAGTTTGCTCCAGATATTGTTCCGACAATGGATGGAGAGGTCCGCAAGCAATTCCAACGTGCACTTGAGAAGCAGAAGATGAAATTCATGCTCAAAACTAAGGTGGTAGGAGTTGATACTACTGGAAATGGTGTGAAGTTGACAGTTGAACCAGCTGCTGGTGGAGAGCAAACCACACTTGAAGCTGATGTTGTTCTTGTTTCTGCTGGTAGAACTCCATTCACAGCTGGGCTTGGCTTGGACAAGATAGGAGTGGAAACTGATAAGATAGGACGAATTTTAGTCAATGATAGATTTGCTACAAATGTGCCAGGTGTTTATGCCATTGGAGATGTAATTCCAGGGCCAATGTTAGCCCACAAAGCAGAAGAGGATGGCGTTGCTTGTGTGGAGTTTATAGCTGGTAAACATGGGCATGTTGATTATGATAAGGTCCCTGGAGTTGTCTACACTCATCCTGAGGTCGCATCTGTTGGGAAGACTGAGGAGCAGGTTAAGGCACTTGGTATTGAATACCGTGTTGGGAAGTTCCCTTTCTTGGCAAATAGCCGAGCCAAGGCTATTGATGATGCTGAGGGAATAGTCAAGATACTGGCTGATAAGGAGTCGGACAAAATTCTGGGAGTTCATATCATGGCACCCAATGCTGGAGAGCTCATCCATGAAGCAGTCCTTGCCATTAACTACGATGCATCAAGTGAGGACATCGCACGTGTGTGCCATGCACATCCTACAATGAGTGAGGCATTGAAGGAAGCCGCAATGGCCACCTATGACAAGCCCATTCACGTCTAGAAATCTAGATTTTATGTCTTCTTGATTTTTGTTTGAGAATTTTCAACATGACTCAGCACAAAAACTTCACTTTCTTGTTTGTCCTGGAAGCAGATGGCATGCTGGAATAGAGATTTTCTATTCTTCTTTCCCTGTTTTCTGAATGGTATAATAACTAAGCATGTTCAGTCATTTTGTGATGTGCAATTAATAAACAACTTAATACGCTGGAGCAGATATTCATGCTTTGCTCATTCCCTGTTATACATTGCAGTTTTCTCATCTTGGAGGGGCTTGTTTGAGTTAATACTTTGTTGGTCAATAGATAGTTTGTGATAGAAGTGGAAAAGCACATGTTTATACAGGCAGGGCATGCAAGTTACAGTTTGCTGTATGATTTCTTCTTACCTACCTTTGAAGCTTAAAAGAATTAGAATCCGGTGCTCAAATGTGCCACACATATAAACAAATAAGAAAGCCGAAACATCTTAGCTTAGGATTTCAAAACTAACGCATGTAACCTTACATGTTCACCGACTGCCCTTTCAGTGATGTTCTTTCTTAAAAGCCAACTTAAGTCCAGGAGAAGCATACAAGCAAGAGTAATTCATAACCAAATCTGATTGATACGAGGGAAAGAACCAGAGACCCCAAAAAGATTGAATATATATAACTTGCATTTTAAGCACAAAAGATGAGTCAGATATGTATTTGCTAAAGGGCCTTCCCTCCTAATGATGGGAACAAAGGCCCCTTGCTCTACTCTCATCAACTCTGGGTCTTTCATGCTGCAATAAAAAAAAAAAAAGCTATTTAGGACTGTCATGGGTCCTCCCGCATGTCTGGTCTCCTCCTAGCCTGTAGAGCAAGCCTTGCATCTCTCTCCCTCTCAAATTCCCGATAATCAGCCCGCTGCAAGAAAGAAACCTTATCCAGATACTGGTTTGAGCTCTTCTTGTAAGCATCCAACTCTTCTTCCATCCCTTTATTCTCATCCTTGAATTCTCCCCAATCTTTTTTCGTCTTGTCAAGCACGCTGAGCTTTGGCTTCTTTTTGATTTGTTCAAGAACAGCATCTACGGCAGAAGGTGCAGGAGCTTTCGCCTTTTCAGCCACCTCTTTCGAATCAGCATCAATACGCTTTCGAATTTCAATTTCTTGACCAGCAAAGTCTCGAACCTCAGTGATCTGCAAACGGAAAGATTGAACGTTACAGCATTGCTCAGGCATGGAGTTGGCTGATCCACAGACTACCAAAGCATTCCTAGCCCTAGGAGTTTCAAGTTTATCATGTGTTTGCATCCAGAAACATTAACAGACCAAAGTGCTTAGAAGACCAAGGACGTATATAATCTTTTGGAGTGCTCAGGTATTGAAAAATGGCTCATCATAGTTCAAACATTTCTTTAAAGACAACTTGAAGTAAAGTCAGAAGCAAGCATTGCCAGTGAAGAAAGAGGTCCACACTTGCATGCTCAGATAATCCATGCAATTGCATGGCTAAGGCATTTTCTAACTGGTAGCTGCATTTTTTTTTCTAACAAGAGTTGGAGAAGGTTGTGCTTACCTCAATTTTGCCTCTATTAGATGCAGCAGCTGCAGCTGCTGCCGCATCCTTCACTGCTGAGAGAGCAGCAGCTGCAAGCTTCTTTGCCTCATCACTGATGCTGTTCTGCATCACACCAGGTTCCTTCAGCGATTCATCTTTATTAAGGCCTTCTGTTTTCTTTGGTAGCAAGCTCAGCTGCATCATCCATTTCTGTTAAGCGTAATCTGGCTAAAAGTTCAATTATAGCCAATTACCTACCAGGGCAACAAAATTGAAAGGAAAAACAACTTACATTGGATGTCTTCTGAGAAAATTGAGTACCCACAGTTAAACCATTCTCCACAGATATTCCTTTATCAACTTGCCCTAACTGAGCCTTATCACTTGTTCCATTCTCCACAACACTTGGAGACTTCGCCTCTGTCTGTTTGTCTTGCCCAGGATTTGGTGGTTTCATTTGCAGATACTTCATCCAATTCTACGGAATAAATCAAAGGCAAACAATTGCACCGTGACTATCTACTTATAATTAGCTCCATTAAAAACGGAAGAGAATGAAAAAATCCTCACATTGGAAGCCTTGGGTGAAGTTTTACTTCTGGTTGAGGAATTATTGCTAGAAAATTGTCTGAGAGCATTCTTAGGGATTCCCTTATTCATCTGCTCCCACATTGCATCCACTCGTGCTTTCGCTCCTAGCATCATGGGAAAAAAAAAAAATTGATATCCTCTGCTTCATATTAACAGCTTGTTGTTTTGAAATGATAGACATAGCTCTCACCAAAGCAAAATCAGGATTAATGAAAGAATATTAAGTGATCAAATCATAAATATCTCACCCGCATCTTCACGCTGGGACACTGAATTCAAGGCCATAGCATCTACTTTCACAGACTCATTCAATGTTCCCTCTTTTTCGTTTACATTTCCTGAAACACAAGGGAGGAAACAGAAAATGACAAAGACTTCGAAAAAAGTAATATCTACCCATCAAGCAAAATTCTCTAGTATAGAAACTATTGCAATTAGTCTCTTCGAATTGAACAAAATTACATGCACCCAATACCATTTTCCTTCCTTTCCATGCACGAAGATGCAATATAAATTCCAAACTAAATAAGAAATCCCAGGTAAAAAAGGAAACCCAGTTGAAAAAGAAAGAATTTGAAAGAATAAAACTAACATAAACTTTTTTTTTTAAAAAAAGAATAATACAAACATAAAAAGGATTTTTTTTCTTGTTCTAATTAACCAAAGAATTAACCTTTTCGGATCAAATAAAGCCTTTAAAAACTAAAAAAAAAAAAGAATAGAAATATAGTTCGGCACCTGAGTCGTCGAGCCCGTTGGTGGTCGTAGCCATTGGGGACAGAAAAAAATCTATACCAGGCTTTGGGGTTTGTTTAAACGAGAGATAATCGAATATCTTTCCGGGAAAATCAGCGAAGACGCTGTTCGGGTGGCATGAAAATGGAAGGGGAAGAAAACGCTGAAAAACCCTCGCGACACGGAGAGAGCAAGTACGAAAGAAAAGGAAATCGAAAGCCCTTACCTGCTAGTGCCAGTGCTAAAATGCCAACAACGGCACCGTTTGCACCCTTGCTCTGTGGCCCTTTTTTTTTTAATTTATATTTAATTTAAATGATAGTGTTAATTCTTATAAATTTAGGGGCATTGTTTCTTGTTTTTAATAATATTATTAAAAATATCATTATTTAATCCTATTAGAATTTAATATCATTTAAATAATAATATAATTAGAAGAAAAATGCAAAACATTTTCTTTATACATAAAAACCTGCTAAACCACTTGTTTTAACCTAGTATCATAGTATAATTCCCCAAGTTTTTTCCTTAGTGTTGGGGAATAGCAAAATGGGAATTGGCAAATTTTGTGTGAATGTGAATACAAGGAAATGTGGTTGGAGTTGGACCAGGTAGAATAAATGCTCAAAAGGGTAGTGGGATTTATTCATCATTCAGGAAGAATTTGTCCAAAATGTTTATTTGCTCTTGAAAACCAAGATCCTTTTAACACTTTCCTTTGGTTTTGCAGGGCAGAAGCAAGTAGCAGAAGATACATTCTCCAACATCAGAAGATGAAAAAGAAACCAAGATTGTACTCAAATTTTGAGCTTTGGTGACCCTGGTCGAATCACCCAAGCCCAATGTTTGTATCAAAAGATACATTTCAAAACAAGAAACAAGGAGAACGAGAACAGTATCTCCATCACATTGATACAAGATGTCTTTTTTTTTTAATCCAACAGACATGACCAGAACCGTGGAAATCTCAACATTCAGAAACTATTTTGCAGGATAACAGGTTCTATACTGTTTAACTTAGCAACGAGCAATCATGGGCTTGAAGTCGATTACAAGGACTTTCTCCAGGTGGCCTAGAAACAAGTTTGCGAATTCGACATGAACAGGATGAGCTACATATTCTGCAATGCCCTCAGTGCTTTCAAATGTGGATTCAAACACATGAGTGAAACCTTGATGCAGGTTCTCAATGCTAACATCCTTGCCCCTGTTACAAGCAACATCAATATGATATGATGGAAACGAATTTTAGTGCAAGGCCAATAATTCACTAGGCACAAACAAGGGCCTACAATTATAGGCAAAATGAAGATCATTCTAATTTTAAGGTAGAGAAAAAGAATGCTTTACTTGAGAGAGAACTACCAATTCTCAGTTAATTTCCTCCATCTTCCCAAAAGCATTAGTAAGAATCGGAAGTTTGGTTTACCAACTGCATTCTATTGTTTGTTAATCAACACATTTGGTAAAGAGAGGACTTCTTTTTCTTGTCAATCAAAGTTTCATCCTTGTAAAGACATTTCCAGCAGTAAAATCCTGACTGCACCATACCGATGTGGGGGAAGCATTCTATAAATCACATTCAAGGATTGAAGATTCTTCTTCCTGCCATTGCTAAAGTACTATTTAATTTCAGCATCATTTTGATTGCATATGCCATCGATTTTCAAGATTGTTACAGTTTAAGCATCATATCCTCATAGAGAAAGATCACAACTATAACTATAGATCTCATAATACAGACTTCAAAAAAAATTAACCAAAGAACAAAAAAAACGTTAAAAAGACAAAACCATCCTTATAAACAGATGGGTGGGTGGATCTCAAAATTATCCACATCTGACCAAGCTAGAAACAATACATTTAAAGCTTTGATGGGGCGTCAGCAAAAGAAACAGGAAAAAAGCAGTGATTGAAAAGGGAAGCATTCATAATAAGACATAGTACCATTGAAAAGCTTTCATAGGTTCAATGAGATTGACAAGATTGGCATAGCCTTTGATGAGTTCCTCAATCTTCTCAGGTGTGGTTTCATCTTTGAACTTTGCCAGCAATACGTGCTTCACAACCCCTTTTGCTTCCTCCATGTTTCTCCTCCCCTCTCTCTCTCTCTCAAAGTAATCAGTTTGGTTGACGGTTCCGTCCTCTCAACGACTAAACATCAACTGCTTTTCATTTCACTTCATCGCTCAAAGACTTACAAAGCCATTTTGGTCATTTCCACAGTTCTATAATGTGTGGATGGGCTACAGAGTTGGAACCCAAAGAAACTATACACGATAAGATACGTTGGGCTGGAAGAGGCTTAAATTGGGCTCAAAGCAAACTATCAAAATTCCAGTTTCATTTACTTCGATGACAAAATAGCATAAACATTAAACGTTTTCAAAGTCAACGCACATCCGTAAAATATTTTCATGAGTTCCACCAAATATATATAATTACCTAATATACTAGATATGTACTAATCAAGCTGCAGATGGGGCGCTACCGTTTCCCTGCTGAAGAAGGGGATTAGCTGCAGGCAGAGTGGAAACCAAAGGTTTCATGTTACCCTGCTCAGGCCTGCAATTTTTGTAATCCAGCGACTCATCCTCGTATATTTCCCACCACTTCTTCACCAGAACCTTGATATCTTCCCTTTGCATGTTCTCCTCCTCCCCAGTGTACCTCCAAGGCTTTGATCCCTTCATTTATCACAAAAACCGAATTTATGGTTAAAATAAACAATGGGAAATGTTAATAATTGAATATATAAACGTGGGGTTGCATGATTCAAAGACTCTTACCGCAGCACAATAATGAACAACCTTGACTTTGTCGAGGTCCACATTTTCAGGGTGGCGCCACAGCATAGCCAAAACATGGTTGTAAACAGGAGGGATAGGCTTGTAGACATTCCTGAAGAAACTGTTGAGGAAGTCCTGCAGCAAAATCAAATAAGGAAAACCAAATACATTAGCAAATGAAGGCATTGAAATAATCAGGGAGGTTGATGCATGGTCAATTACCTGCTCAGCAAATGAAGTTGGAGTGGTGATCTTGAGGGTCTGAAGTAGATCATGGTAGGTAAAAGGATTAGGCTCAAACACAAACATACCGGCGTTGAAGTAAGGCGGAGGTGGCGAGCCTAACTTAGCTGGCCAGTGAACTTTCTCAGGGCACTGCTGGCAGTATCCAATCTTGTACTGAGGCGAGTTAGCCCATGTCTTTTCACAGAAACAGTCCATGACAGCATACAAATACCCATTCGGGGAATCAAAAAGGTGATCTATATTCTCGAAAACTTGAATATCCCCGTCCAAGTATACCATCTTGTCATACTCCACAAACTACAATTAAAACACGAACAAGGTGACTTTGTATTAGACCAATCCATGAATTAATTACATGTAAGTAATATGGTGATCCAGAAATATAGTAAAGGGTATGGTAACATAACAAATAAAACAAAGCAACATAAACTGAGAAAGGCTAATATTTTCTTTTTTTTTTTTACCTCCCAAATACGAAGCTTGGAGTAGTTGATAACATAATAGGCCATGGCAAACTGGGTGTGGTTGGCAGGGGGATATACCGGTTGGATCTCCCGGACAATACAGCCCTGAGATTCAAGAATATCCCGGTGCTCTTTGGGCACATCTGGCAGGATGGCCACAACCAAAGGGTAAACGGATCCCGCTTTCCTCAAACCCTTGACTAAACCCACCACACCCTTCACATAATCTCCATTGCCAGCCAAGAAGGTCACATAAGCCCTGTTGGGCACTTCCTCATCAGCCACAGCACTTTGAGACATCTTGTTAACTCAAAAGACAAAAGACCCAAAAAGGATTTGATGACAAAATCTAAGAAAAACAAAAATTCTGAATAAAAAATGTGATTTTTTGGAGATGTGAAGTGGGGGAATGCATGCCATCCTTATATAAACAACACCAAAGAGGTGGTGAAAATGGAAATAAGAATAAACAATAAATGACAAGGCAGGTGAATATTTAATTAATTTTTCCTACATATGATTATGATTCCAACTGCCTTGAAATCAAAATTAGCCATAAGGTTATGAATCATGAATGCTTTGATCATTTCCTTTTAAGAACACATGCAAGTTTTTATATGGGAAAAACTAATCAAGGGTGGGAGAATTTGAGCTTGATTATTTCCATGGTTAGATCAAACCGAAACCGAAAATTCAGTTTTGGTTGTAGTATTTATAACCTTGTTTGATATTGAAGTTAACTGTGTCAGTAAATAATTTGAACCAAATTGTTGGAGAATCACAGGAAATCACGTCAAAAAGTATTGATGGTTAGATTTATATATTACCCTTTTTCCTTTCTTATTAATTAGTCATTACAATTCCTTAATTTTTGATGTGAGATGATCATACGTTTTAATGCAAATCCAAGGACTACTCAATAAAGATTTATATCAATATATATATTCTATGTTTATACTTATAAAAAGATTACGTGTCAAGGTTTAATAGTAATTAATTTTCATGAAATCAAGTTCATTATAAAATGCAGCAAAATTATTTAGACAAATGTGTTGTTTTAATGAGTGTGATGAAATTTTATTGACCCCACTCTACTGTCCTCTGAAGAATCAAACACATCTTCAATTCTTCAATCAGTCTTAAAGAAATTTCTTAATACATTAAGGCAGGGATTATTCTTAATAGGAGTTTCAAGCAATACTATGACCATTTAAGTTTTTCATATATCCTACTCTAGATCGTAACACTGTGAACAAAAGCTTTTGTTTCTTGTAAAGAAGATCTTTTTCATTTGTAGATGATCTTTTACTGCAAATTGTAACGTTAGTTTAAATTTAATTTAGTTTATTATGATTATAGTATCAATTTGAAATTCATGTAATCTTATTTCAATTAATACACGAGATATTGCTTTTCAAAAGAGAAAATCATTTTACTAATATGTAAGAAATTAAATTGTGTTTCAAAATATTAATTAACCGCTAATTACAAAGAATTAATTAGCAAAGGAGATTACCATAATCAAAAAGGGAAAAGAGGAGAAGCCAAATACACACTAAAATCACTTGTTTATTTCCAATATTATAAGAGTCAATCGGCCATGATCAGCCATGCATATATTCTTAACACACCCATGATATATAAAACTTTAAAAACTTTCAATTAAAACAGCATCATACGCGCTGGGGGATATAGCCTTTAAAGAAAGAATTAAGTGCCCCAAAGCTAGTAAGTATATAGTATAACTAAGATTGTTTAAGCCGCAGATGGAGCACTCCGCTGGTGAAACACACCATCTTCATTGAGTGTAGAGATCAAGGATCCGAGCTTTCCGGGTTCACCCTGCATGGCGTTCTTGTAATCTAGAGATTCGTCTTCATAAATATCCCACCATTTCTTCACCAGCAACTTTATGTCATCCCTCTGCATGTTCTCTTCCTTCCCAGTGTACCTCCACGGCTTTGCTCCCTGTTTAAAAAGGTTAGAAAAACGATCTATCTATGGAAATTGGAAGGAAGAAAAGATGAAAACTTACGGCAGCACAGTAATGAACGACTTTCACTTTGTCAAGGTCTACATTTTCAGGGTGACGCCACAGCATAGCCAAGACGAGGTTGTAAACAGGTGGGATTGGCTTGTAAATTTCCCTGAAGAACATATTCAGAAAGTCCTGCTCCGCGAATGACGTTGGAGGAGTGACTTGGAGGGTCTCGAGGAGATGATGGTAAGTGAGGAGGTCAGGCTCGTAGACGAACATGCCGGCGTTGAAGTAGAGAGGAGGAGGAGAGCCCATTTCGACAGGCCACTGCACTTTTTCAGGGCGTTGCTGGCAATACCCAATCTTGTACTGAGGAGAGCTCGACCATGTCTTCTCGCAAAAGCAGTCCATGACAGCGTAGAAATACCCATCGGGCAGGTCGAACAGGTGATCGATGTTGTCGAGCACTTGGATGTCACCATCCAAGTATATCATCTTCGCGTACTCCACGAACTACAAACCGATTAAAAATCATCAATATTTATTAATCAAATTTCTTAGACTTAAAAGCAATCCTTTATCAAATTCTATTGGAATTCAATAATTAAATACACTTTTATGTGTTTTTCATGAAGAAAAATAATGTAATTAATGAAAAAGAAAACCTTTGATAAAGCAATTGCAATTCAAAGTGAAATTTTTTAAAAGGTAGTTTGGTTTGTTATATATTAATAAAATATATATATAATCGAAATTAAAGAAAGATAAATATTTACGTTTACAACATTAAAGTATAAAATTAATGAAAAAAATTAAATGTTTATTTTTATTATTTATTTTACACGTGTAAAATTAAATTATATATCACGTGTATAATTTAGGCAATGATACATTTAAAATTAAAGAATAAAAGACAAGAACGTGCATTTATGCATAAATTTAGATTTTAAAGGTTGCATGCCATGCCACACGTTGCATGGATATCATTCCAAGAAAGCAAGGTGCATATTAGCCAAGGAAAAATTGCTGCATCTTTTTACCTCCCAAATACGAAGTTTCGAGTAGTTGATAACATAGTAAGCCATGGCAAACTGGGTCTGGTTCTCTGGTGGATAAACCGGCTCAATCTCCCGGACGACGCAGCCCTGAGATCGGAGAATCTCGCGGTGCTCTTCGGGCACGTCAGGAAGAACAGCCACCACCAAAGGGTACACAGACTCAGCCTTCCTTAAACCCTTAGCTAAACCCACCACGCCCTTCACGTAGTCTCCGTTTCCAGCCAAGAAGGTCACGTAAGCCCTCTTGGTAGTATCATTAGTCGGAGACATCTCTTAGTTGGAAGAGGAAGAGAAGAGACAAGAAGCTAAGCAAACCGACCAAGAAAAAGTTAACAGGAAGAGTGAAGAGGATGCGTGGGTTGGAACGAGATGGTGAACAATGGTTGGGATCTATATATAAGCTTTGAGAAAAGGTGGTGGAAAATGGAAATGGCATGAAGCAAAATTTGGGGTAATACTTTTGCCTTTGAATCTCTTTCCAACAGATACTGAATTTCTGCAATGTACGCGTGGCATGCAAAAGAAAAATTGGTCTTTTACACTTGCCTATTCCCTGCATTCGACACATGAAAAGCTAAAGAGAGAACCCTGAGAGAGGGCAATCTTTTTCTGTCTCAGTCGATTGATGATCCGACTGGTACAGGAGCTACCACGTCTGTGAAATGCTTCAATCTGATTTGATCAAGGGTCCTGATTGAGTTTCAGGATTTGATCCTTATCGAGTGGTTGCCGGTGGTGAGGATAACTCAAAACAAAGCAGAGAAATAACTGAAACTTTGGAAGTCAATTCTTTGTATGCGAATGGTACGTGGCTAACTGTTGTCTTCCTCCTTGCAGTGACGATGGAAATGTATGCCACGTGTTAACATCTTGCTGGTTAACACTGTCCTAATTTACGTTATAATTAAGATGTGGAGATCACAGTTAGGATTGATGATTCATTGGAGAAATATAAGGGCAGCCCTTAATTTGATGTTAATTAACTCTATAATATATATATATATATGATTATAGAGCTTTTAAGGGGAAATGATTTCCCAAGATTTCACTTGAGTTTTTTCCCTGTTCCTGAGTTTACTCTTTAAAGTTATTTCCACATCCAAATCAAATAATTAATCCATTTTAACCTATGGTTCTAGGTTCTAAAGAGAGGATTCTATATATGAGGAAGGCATAATGATATGATAAATTGGATTGCATTAAAGTAGAGCTGACTTTATCAAATAATTCACTCAATCATGATATGAATAACATAAAAAATAACTATGCCGAGTAATACACCTAAAACTTATAAGCAAAAAAGGAACTGAACCCTAAATTTTCATGAACATTTTACTTGTATTTTCATATCTGTGTTTTTCTATTATTTGCAACTTTCCTTTTTGGGTAATAATTAAGACCATTTGTGTAACCTAATTGTTAGCCACAATTAAAGGCCAACATGTACCTACACAAAAGGCAAAGATTGGATTCCTTTGTGCTGTTCAAAATCCGCAAGCAACAGGAGATGGAAGTCGTTTGATTTGTAAGGAGAAGGAGAATAAAGCAGAAAAGAGAAATACCTAATTATAAAAGCCATTGAAGAGAAGAAAATGTTCCATACGGTTCAAACACTGCAAATTTTTGGACTTATGCTCCGACCAAATGCATTCTACATTGAATTGTTTCCATAGTCTGTGAATAAAGGGAAGTTCAAGTTTCTTTTAAGAAAAAAACAAAAGAAAAAAGGGGGTTGTCAACATGTTGGGAGAATCAAGTTAAGTTACATTCGGAAAATATTCTTTCAATTCGGGATGGTTTGGTTGATGATGAGGAGAGTCGTTTTCAGTTATGTTGTGGATATTCCTCTCATCATATGGTTCGTGAACAAGTGTACATAATGCCAGAGGAAATGGAATCTAAGCTAAAAAATTCTGGGTTAGACACATATGTGTTTCTTCAGAAAACAGGATCCAAACGAGACTATACTATGATATATCATGATGTATATATATTTATATAAAATATGTAATTTAATTAAACGTACTAATTTTGATCTTAATTTAATTTTTAAACAATTAAGATAATAATCTTTAGTTTTGTACAATCGCCAGTGTGTATATTCAAAATTAAAACCTTCAGTTTTATAGACATCAAGGGTAAGTATGAGTAATCATTCCAAAATTTTAAGGTTGCTATTCTCTAATTCATTGCTATGGCAATGCCTTATTCGGCTGGATTGGCCGGGGAGTTGTATTGAGTGATGCGAGTTTTATCTTTTTGCTTCATCGTACACATGTAAGAGAATACAGCCTTTTCATGGCTAAGGCTAAGATCGATTTTGGTATAAAGCCAGCAAAGCCCTTACTTTAAACTTCATAATTAATTATATTAAATATATATTAAAATTAAATTAATTAACAAAATATCTCTTAAATTAAGTGTTTATTAAATATTTATTTTCTTTCACTACCTATCTCTTATTAATTTTCAATCATTTATCTCACTTTTTCATTTATGTGAAAGTTAAAATAATTAATAAAATTACATATTCTCTCACTTTTTCAATTATGTATCTAACAAATTTTTATTTTTTATCATTTCTCAATTTTCATAATGCTGAAAACTCTCAATTTTTTTTTTTATTTTTGATGAATGTAATATGCTTTTAATGATTTTCAATTAACGATAATTTTTTCTAATTTCAATAAAAAGAGCTTCAATAATTTTTTTTCTCAATAAAAGCTTTATTTAAATATTTAATAGCTTTCAACTTTTAAAAGTATTGAGCTACCCCTAGCTAAGGCTAAGGCAAATAAACAGGCTCCATGTCTATATATAGATGAGCAATGTTTAATACTTAATTTGGAAGCAAAAAACCTCTCTATTATTTGATCAAGAGAATATATATAGTTAATTACTGAGATAAACCATGTTTAATTAACAATTTATAAAAAAAAAGTCTTTTTTATTCGATCCAAAGAAGATATATTATATATATAGTTAATTTTTTGAATGAGTCGTATTTAATTGTATATTTGAGGGTAAAAACCGTCTCTCTTATTCGATAATATATATATATATATATATATAGTTTCTAAATCATTTCTCCATGCATAATCTGTGGTATGCAAGGACTACCTTGTATCTCGTTATAACTACACTTACTAGGCTGTTGAGCTTAGGTACGTGCTCCCTATCCCAATCAACGTTTTGTCTGAAAAAGGAGTTGATGCAAACCTGAAATAACGTAAACCCGAACCCAATTTTATCCTATTCCAATAATGGACACAAGCAGGGGAGGAGTAACGGTTGATCAATTAGTTTGGACCGTTGATTAGGTGGGAACCCCAACATTTCACAAAGTCATTCACTCTTTCCTGTGTTCTTGACCTTATCTCGGGGAAACGGAATCGAAAAAACACAAGGTGGGAGGGAAAAAAATGGCGTCTTTGGCTCAACAATTCACAGGCCTAAGATGTCCACCGCTCTCCTCTTCTGGCTTGTCGATGAAACCAAAGCAAACCCAGAGAGTGGGTGCTTTTGCTTCTCCAATAGTTTCATCTGTTGCTATCTCAAATGCACAGACCAAAGACAGGCTTGAGCTCAAGAAGATGTTCGAGGAGGCCTATGAACGCTGTCGTACTGCTCCCATGGAAGGCGTTTCCTTCACTCCTGAGGACTTTCAAAATGCTCTCGAAAAATACGACTTTGATTCGGAGCTTGGAACCAAGGTATCTGTCCTTCTTTTCTTTTGGTTTATGGTATTAGCTTGGATTAGGAGTTATTAGCGGATTATGTGAATTGGGTACTTATTTTATTATTTGAGATTTGTATTTCAAGTTTGAGTCTTTCTTTATCTTGATAGTGCAAAATACGCAAGAGTGAGATTTTGTTAATGGATGAGCTCAAGTGAGGTATTTTTTGCGAATTATGTCCAAATTCTGTTTGGGGCTAGTTTTGGTTGGACATGGAGTTTATGTAGTTTTATTTTGAGCTTCTCTTTTTGTGTTTCTTATTCATTCTTGCTGATGTTAGCTGTGAAGAAGAGTAACTGAACTTTTATTTTGTGCATGATGTTCTATAATAACGATTGAAAAATGTACATTTTCAGGTAAAAGGAACGGTTTTCTCCACAGATGCCAATGGGGCTTTGGTTGACATTACTGCAAAATCTTCTGCTTACCTACCGGTCCAAGAGGCCAGCATTCATAAAATTAAACATGTAGAAGAAGCAGGGATAGTTCCTGGTTTAAGGGAGGAATTTGTGATTATTGGTGAAATTGAAGCTGATGATAGCTTAGTCTTGAGCTTAAGGTCCATTCAATATGAACTTGCCTGGGAAAGATGCAGGCAGCTTCAAGCTGAGGATGTTGTTGTGAAGGGTAAGGTGTGTATCCTCTTCCAATTGTATCTGCATTTGTAATAAAGTCAAAACTCTTTTAGGGCTAATGGTATCATGTGTCTGGAGCTTTCGGTCAAATTTTATACTTATTCATGCATTCTCACTCTGGTGCTCTTTGACTAACTGATATATGTAGGTTGTTGGTGCAAACAAGGGTGGAGTAGTGGCATTGGTGGAGAGTCTTCGGGGTTTTGTTCCTTTCTCGCAGATATCATCAGTTAGTTCTATGATCCCAACTGATCATCTTTTTGACTCTCTTTGTTTTACTGTGCTAAACTCCAACTCCCTTTGGGATCTATACTTTGCTCAAGTATTTTACCTACCATTGTGAACTCAAAATCTGATTTTCTGATGTCAATCATTTTATGATTTTTTCAGCGTATCTTAAGAGTGACAAGTTATGCTGCATTCACCTGAATTGCATTTTAGCTCAACTAGCTCTGTATAGTTTTCCATGGAAATTTAAATTATCCTTAGTAATTTATGTTTTCATGTTTCATCAGAAAACCACTGCAGAAGAGCTTCTAGATAAGGAGATCCCTTTGAAGTTTGTGGAGGTTGATGAGGAACAGTCCAGGCTTGTCCTCAGTAACCGCAAGGCCATGGCCGACAGCCAGGCACAGCTGGGAATTGGATCAGTTGTCCTTGGAACTGTTCAGAGCCTGAAACCATATGGTGCATTCATTGATATTGGAGGAATTAATGGCCTTCTTCATGTCAGTCAGATTAGTCATGATCGTGTCTCAGATATTGCTACAGTTCTTCAGCCTGGTGACACTCTGAAGGTGACTTCAATTATCAAGTTAATTCTTGGCAAGAAGTTGTGCTTTTCTTAGAAATATATTTTAAAGACCATGTCAAATGATGTAGGTAATGATACTGAGCCATGACCGTGAAAGAGGCCGAGTAAGTCTTTCTACAAAGAAATTAGAGCCTACCCCTGGAGACATGATTCGC